GAGCATCCAGGCTCACAGTCCATGTCCTCAAGCTTACTTTGAGTGTTAAGCAGAGATGTATATGTTTGTACGAGATTTAAGCAGCTGAATAAAGGATTGAATCCAATTGCACCCTCTGCAAATTGATCTATTTATAGTCCAAAGTATTCAAATTTTATTCTTTCCTCTGTGAAGGCCCATCCAAAGAAACGATTACAAAAGCAATAAAGAAGGTTTTAAAGCTAAATATACAGATAATAGTTACTTTTATCTTGAGACTGCTGCACGTCAACGGTGATTGTTGGCAGTTCCTTCACTGATAAAGCTAGTGCAACTTCTAAGTCTCTCTGGTAGAGCTTGTCATCTAAAGCCATTCTAAAACAGACACACAGATAACAACGAAGTTTTAAAAATAACAACCTCAATTAAAGACCAAAGTTTGAGATTTTCCTAAATTACTATTTAAGAGTTGCTAACCTCACAAAAATGTTTTTAAACAAGTCATCATCATTAATTGAACTTTGATGGTAAGACTCCTAAAATATAACAATGTCATGTTATATATGACATAACAGGTTGGAAACAGGAGCAGCATGTGCTTTTGCACCTACTGTTCCCTTTCATTGTAATGTCTCTCCTTGCTACCAGCTCTATCCAGGTGGGAAGTACCAGCTCAATCTAAAACAGACGTGGCTCAATCATCATTTCAACTTAGGAATCTTTCGACGTCACCCACACCCCTTTAACATACATTATAGCTCTTATATTAAGTGAAAATTGTATTTTTTTATATCTGTTCCTCCCAATCTAGACTTTAACAAGTATTTAACCAAGCACTTACTTTGTACAAGGCACTGCACTAGCTAGAATACTAAAGGTACCCTCGAGGAGTCTGCAATTTAAGGAGGGTGGAGAAATAAGACATACTAATAATTATCCCATATAAGGCAGATTATAGTAAGTCTCCCATTCAAGTTGGTCAAAGGTGCTATGGAATGTAACAGGAAGAAAAATCAAAGACAGTAAGATAAGGGAAGGTTACATAAAGGAAGAAGCACTGAGATATACCTTGAAGGATTTCTTTTAATTAATAGTTTTATTGAGATATAATTCACATGCCACAAAATTCACCCTTTTAAAATACACAATGCAGTTTTCACTATATTCACAGAGGTGTGAAACCATCACCACTATCTAATTCCAGAACATTTTCGTTACCCAAAAAAGAAACCCTGTTCCCATTGGCAGTCACTCCCAATTTACCCCTTCTCAAGTTCCTAGCAACTATTAACTTACTTTATGTTTCTATGGATTTGCATATTCTAGACATTTCATATAAATAAAATCACATAATACGTGGCCTTTTGTGTCTGGCTTCTTTCACACACAATAATGTTTCCAAGGTTCACCCATGCTGCGACATATATCAGTAGTCACTTCTTTTTACAGCTGCATAATTAATTCCATCGTATGGATACCACATTTTATTATCCATTCATTAGTTAACAGACATTTAGATTGCTTCCATTTTTTGGCTGTTATGAATAATGTTGCTATGAACATTCGTATACAGGTTTTTGTGTGGGCATGCGTTTTCATTTCTCTTGGGTATATACATAGGCTGGGTCATACAGTAACTCTGTGTTTAACATTTTGAGGAACCGCTGAACTATTTTCCAATTTGGCTGCACCATGTTACAGTCCCA